TCTGCTGTGGCACTTTACTCATCAACTCCACAATAAAGGTAAGTGACATTTAATTATTGTTTATTTTGCATGCCCCATTCGTTTTCGTGTCAGGAAATGTATATTTCATGTAAAAAAAAAAAATTATTCAGACTTTGGGGTGTCAGGAACAGATTCATTCTATTTCTATCATTTCTTATGGGAAAAATTAATTCGATCAACGGCAATTTCGACTAACGGCAAGTTCTCTGGAACGGATTAATGCCGTTGGTTGAGGGTCCACTGTATATATATTCTTCCTCAGAATCTGTAGATCACCTGAATACAGATCGATTGATCAATTCCATCCCTTGTACATATAAGTGTAAATGCATTACAATCGATTACATCCCATTATATTCTATTACCATTCCTATGAATAGTTCTATGTTACATGTGTGTGTGCTATTGTATAGAATCAGCCCAGAGCTGCCTGCCTGTTCAGCCTATAGAGTATGTATTGTATGTCGAGATGCCATATGTAACACGAACAAGCTGTCAGTGGTGTCACTGATTACTTGTGATACTCGTGTAGTATACATAGATATTCCCAGCTATGTTATACATACGTTTCCTACTAACTGTATAGGTTCTGTGTTTAGCTGTGACGACACGAGCCCTGGGCATGTGAACGCTTGCATGCAAGAATCCTGCCTCACTTGGACGATAGGAATAGACTAGACAGGTAGGCCTGGGCTTCTTCCCTCAAGGCTCTCTCAATATATGTTACTAACCGACCTAGTGTGTATCTCTTCAACCGTCTAATATCTCCAGAACACCCACCCGACACACTAACAGCAACAACAACACCTCTCCATGCTAACTCCACTAAAAACTATTTGATTTAATCTGATAAGGGAAAAAATCTTTGCGAATCCCTTAGAAGTAAATATTAAACGTATTCTATCAACAAAGAGTAAGTCATAATTCTAGAACTGTGTAATTCTAAGTGTGTGTTTCTTTAGAAATGTTCCAGTCATGACACTTTGACTTTTATTTTTAGACAGCAGTAATTTAACAGCAATTCACAAGTAACTCGCACAAAAGAGGAAGAAACTTATGACTACGTTTTGGTCCGACTTGGACCGTTGATTAGTTAATGGTTGAAGTCGGACCGAAACGTCTTCAGTCTCGGTATCGTTCCTTTTTTTTTTTCTTAATTTACAGCAAAATAATTTCTTCAGTAAACCCACTGATAAAAAAAATTCTTTAATATCTGACAAAATATTTCATTAGTATCGAGAGTAATCGACAATTAAGTTTCTTGCGTGAACACATTTCTAAAATTTGGTTAAAACTACAATATAACAAACAAATAACAACACACTCCCAATTGTAGAACTGTTGCGAATTTAATTAAACCTTCTGAGACTTAAATACCTAAATCCAGTGATTAGTAGTGACTTACTGGATCAATTGAAATTAAAAGTATGTAATTATATTATGGCTCAGCAGACAAGTGGTAAATTAAAACATAATGCAACATTTTGCTTCCATGAGGCTTTATCAAGAATTTGACAAAGTCCCATGTAAGCGAAACGTCGTGCTAATTAATAAAGGTCTGTTCACCAAAAAAGTGTGGACCCTCAAAGAGACTTACCTAGTAGTAGCCTTTCGTTTCGAAGTCAGCTAGGTGAGGGTGAAGGTGGTGTGGGTGCATCATCTGGTGGTGCATCTGATGGTACGCCTGCGGGTGCATACCCATGCCTGCGTTCATGCTCGCCATTTTGTGCTCCTTCTTCCACTTCATTCTCCGGTTCTGGAACCAGATTTTGATCTGTCGCTCAGTGAGGCAGAGGGCATGGGCGATCTCTATCCTCCGTCGCCGCGTCAGGTACCGGTTGAAGTGGAACTCTTTCTCCAGTTCCAGTGTCTGGTACCTAGTGTAAGAGGTCCTCTGTCTCTTCGTCTCCCCGTTGGAGTTTACTGTACCTGTTGAAAGAAAAAGGGAATTACCGATTTATGCGTGAGAGGGCAGGAAAGGCTTAGGATTTTCCTGATATTAAAAAGGCAAGCTGTGTGAGAAAGAGGATGTTCTAAGGTACATAAAACAGTGGCTCACCATGTATAGTTTCCAAGGATGTAAACACAAGATTTCAGAATATTTTCCTGTCATTCATTAACCAACATGTACCTAGTTAAAGAATTAGAGGCAAATGCGATATAATTGAGACAAATTCTTCCAAATTTAGGGCGAAAGAAAGATTGTTTTGTTTTTTTTGCAACACTTATTCAAGTACCTGAAGAAGTACAATGAATTTAGTTCCTTAACTTTTATTAAATTCTATCAAAAATATTTTTACTTAAATCATTTAAAAAAAAGTGGGAGTCAAATAAGATAAGAGATGAAAAGGAATATTTCAAAGAATATTTGGCATAAAACTCTTATAAGATGGAATGTCCAGGCATAGAAGAAAAAGACAAATCAATTGCAAACAAATAGAAAAATCCCAGTAAATAAATCACCAACTCAATTTATATAGATCCTTATATACAAAAAATATAGATATACTTAAAAAAAATAATACACTGTCACTCTACAAGAAACTGAATTGAAAATAGGAAGAGTTGTAAAAATCTCTGAAAACAAATTAAAAAAATATAAAAAAATATTACAGAGATACAAAACAAAAGTTAAATATATATAATGTTAAATGTATAAAATTCAACGTTTGAACAGTGTAAAGGATAGATAAGATATCCATCATCACTCATCAGGTTGATGAGGGTTGGATATAATCATCCAAAATAAGAGTTCATTATTATTATTATTATTATTATTAACAATGGCTCGACTAAGGGGCATATGATTCAGAAGTAACTAGGAACTTAGGAGGATTTTAATCCGACCCTGGATAGTGGTAGTGATGGTGATGATGATATGCTAATAGTTGTAGTGGTGGTGGTAGCACTGGTTGTGGTGGACGGGATTTTGGTGCTAGTGGTGCGGAGGTAATTATACGGAAGAGGATAATAGTGGTTGTAGTGACAGAAGTGATGATGGTGGTAGTGGTTTTGATAGTTAAGGAGGTGGTAGAGAAGATTATGGTGAAAATGGTAATGGTGCTTGCGGTGGTAGAATAGTTGTGGTGATGGTCGTTATGGTGGTGAAGGTAATAATGGTGGTTACGTTGGTGGTAATAGTAGTGGTGATGTGAGTAGCGATGGTTGCGATGTTGCTAATGTTGCACTGAAGGGATCGGTGGTTGAATTAATGGTGGTGATGGTTGTGGTGGTTTTGGTGGAGGCGGTGATGATGGTAGTTACGCTAACAGCTAAAGAACAGAGGCAAAGTGGGAGGTAATTACTGTAAATTGAGTGTGGGTCAGGCAGCAGACGCGGATCTGCACCACACACACACACACACACACACACACACACACACACACACACACACACACACACACACACACACAACAGGCCTAGTGTCTAATCGACATGTGCCTAGGACAAAATGGTAACTAACAGGCCTGACAGAACACACGAATTCATATACCTCTGATATACATGGGAACTTATTCAGGTCTTCCTCGATTCGTCTAGTCCGGCTCGAAGCTAGGCTTCTTTCTTACCTCCTTGGTCAACCAGGCTATTGCTGCTGGTGTCCTACAAGCCTTCATGTTCATCACAGCTTGATTATTAAATGTTCAGTGTCAACTGCCAGGATATTTTCTGATTTGTGATATGTCCGTGACCTGTCTTGAGGGTCGTGGAGATATCGTGGGTCACAGAAAATGCTTCTGGAGTTATCACTCTCCCACACAGCAGATCTGGCCAGACTAATTACATAGTAATCACATGTTTTCGTCATGTTTTCTCTACCTGTTATTTACTTTATTTTACACCGTTGCATTTTGTTCCGTAATGTCATATCCCCGTTAACTTTAAACTTTATGCTTATTGCAGTTTTCTTTACCTAGTCTGTTTTCAGTTTGTCACTCTTAGTACTTTCCACCCCTGACTATTTCCCATATTTCTTCATTATATTTCTGAAGTTTTCTGCTCTAGCGTGATATGGCCTCCTTAGTTTCGTCATTATATCTGCTCCATTGAACGTCTTGGCTCCAAGGTCTTTCTTCCTTTTTCAGTATTCTATGATCTTAATCTCCTAAGACGTGACAAACATTGCCAACCTGTAAACTAGAAATTGTCGTTAATACTAAGGAGTACGTACAGAAACTGTAGACGGTCATTAAAGTTGTCTTCCATCGTGATAGTAGATGTCATCAACATAGCTATGTTACACCAGCTGGGATGTTTGGTTTCCAGCTCCCTTTCCCCAGCTGCTCCATGTGTAAACTAGTGTCGTTCCTCTGAGTGTTGAGCCCATGGTTATTCTATATGACTGTTGGTATAAACTGTCACCCAAACTGAAGCAACTGGAACATATGCAAAGCTCAACTATTTTAGCTGTTTATTTGGTTCTTCATCGGCAAGTATAAATACGTAGTAATTTTCTGTCGAAGTATAACAAATGCTTAGTGTGGGAAAACTAAACACAAATGCATTCCCCTACCCACCACATCATCCACCCACGACCCTACCCACCCACACATCCACCCACGACCCTACTCACCCACACATCCACCCACGACCCTACTCACCCACACATCCACCCACGACCCTACCACCACTCATCCACCCACGACCCTACCCACCACACATCCACCCACGACCCTACCCACCCACACATCCACCCACGACCCTACCCACTCACACATCCACCCACGACCCTACCCACCCACACATCCACCCACGACCCTACCCACTCACACATCCACCCACGACCCTACCCACCCACACATCCACCCACGACCCTACCACTCACACATCCACCCACCCAACCCTACCCACCCACACATCCACTCACGACCCAACCCACCCACACATCCACCCACGACCCTACCCACCCACACATCCACCCACGACCCTACTCACCCACTCATCCACCCACGACCCTACCCACTCACACATCCACCCACAACCCTACCCACCCACACATCCACCCACGACCCTACCCACCCACACATCCACCCACGACCCTACCCACCCACACATCCACCCACGACCCTACCCACCCACACATCCACCCACGACCCTACCCACCCACACATCCACCCACGACCCTACCCACCCACACATCCACCCACGACCCTACCCACTCACACATCCACCCACGACCCTACCCACCCACACATCCACCCACGACCCTACCCCCACACATCCACCCACAACCCTACCCACCCACACATCCACCCACGACCCTACCCACCCACACATCCACCCACGACCCTACCCACCCACACATCCACCCACGACCCTACCCACCCACACATCCACCCACGACCCTACCCACTCACACATCCACCCACGACCCTACCCACCCATCAACCCACAACCCTACCCACAAATCAACCCACCACCCTACCCACCCACACATCCACCCACGACCCTACCCACCCACACATCCACCCACGACCTACCCACCCACACATCCACCCACGACCCTACCCACCCACACATCCACCCACGACCCTACCCACCCATCAACCCACAACCCTACCCACAAATCAACCTGCCACCCTACCCACCCACACATCAACCCACCACCCTACCCACCCACACAACCCACCACCCTACCCACCCACACATCCACCCACGACCCAACCCACCAACACATCCACCAGCCTTTAATTCCTCCCACCAACATACCTCACACAAGCACACCCCCACCTAAATGCCCACCCACCCACACCATATCCATCAACCCACACATCTACCCACCCTTACTTCTGATGAATTCCGAGAGTTTTCGTACTCCCGGGGCCTGGCCCTGGTTAATGTTTATCCAGTGCTTGACTGGTCAATCTCTCTCTCTCTCTCTCTCTCTCTCTCTCTCTCTCTCTCTCTCTCTCTCTCTCTCTCTCTCTCTTCTCTCTCTCTCTCTGCCCAACAATGCCTTTCTTTCAGTTTACCCTGCCCTCATTTTAATTCCCTCTCACTCTATCCTCTCTTCCATCCCACCTTGCCTTCCCTCCTTCCCTTCCACTCTATCCTCCCTTCCTTCATCCTACTCTGCCTGGCCTCCCTCCCACCCTGACATCAGTACCTCCCGCTCTGTCCTCGCTCCCACCCACTCAGACCTCCCTCCCTTCCACCCACCCTGCCCTCCATCCCTCCGGCAGAAATTAACTAGAGCTTGTGTGACGGGTGATGGGAGGGTAATAGAAGTGTCACCCACCGTCTCTCGTCGACCGAAACCCAGTGAAAATTAGTCCACCGCCTGTCACTGTTACCGAAGCTGAAGTCCTTCCCTCCTCTCTCCTCTCTCTCTTCTTATATATATATATATATTATATTATATATATATATATATATATATATACTATATATATATATATTAGTATATATCTATATATATATATATATATATATTATATATATTATATATATATATATTATATATATATTATAATATATATATATATATTATATTATATATATTATATAATTATTTCTATTTATATATATATATATATATATATATATATATATATATATTATATATATATATATATATTATTATTTTTTTTATATCACACCGGCCGATTCCCACCAAGGCAGGGTGGCCCGAAAAAGAAAAACTTTCACCATCATTCACTCCATCACTGTCTTGCCAGAAGCGTGCTTTACACTACAGTGGTAGGGGAAGTAGAATATTCAAACGGCTTCGGGAAGAAATCCAAATATTCTTCTTTGAAGCCTTTTTATCCACTTCTCCGAGGATATGGGACCCACAAATTACATCAGAAGTGTAAATTGTAATATGTGCAAACTGCTAAATGAAACGAAAAAATTCGTAACCAGCCGTCTGTGAAGCTGTTCTACTTCCACCACTATTGCGAAGCTCCTGACGAAGCAATGGTGACGGC